ACTTCTCCTGTGAAATTTTTTTAACAACCTCATCTTTATATTCCACATTAATTCAATCAAAGCAATCTGTTCTTCAGATTAGATTTTAAATGAATTTTTTTAATGAAACCAACCAATATATTTCATTACATTTTTCAGTTTCCTTCTAGTTTAACCTTATGCATAGTGCTTAGAGTAACAGGCCAAAGTCAATTTTTACAGTATTATTACACCAGTTTGAGACATTGTTATTCATGGTTTAGTTTTATTTTATGTATTTATTTACAGATACTGATTAATGTATGTTGCGCTCTTAGCGGGGAAAAGGTGTTACAGGCAAGAGATACTGTGCAAACCCCTACAGTTATAAATCAGATCAGGTGTGATTTGAAATCTCTTTAAAGCAGGCAAGTATTTGAGAGACCATTCAAACGGCATGTGCACAGAGTGTATTGTACAGAACTCAGATCATGTAACTACTAATAAATCACATGTAGAAAAAAGCTGCAGCAGCATACTTTCCCAGGTCACACAGAATAAATTGTCTTCATAAAACTGCCGAAGTATCAAGGAGAGGTTATATGAGTTATGCACTTTCTCACCGACAGTAAGTTGTAGTAGGAGCGATACCTCATAAACAGGCCTGCCTGGTGTTTATGAGACAGTTAGAGGAGTAGAGTTCCTAACTTGTTAACAGCTGCTGTGCTTTGCATACCCTGCTTCCTTCATTACAGCTTGGCGAACCCATTCCCTTTGCCGTACCTTAGTCCTCTGTGTCTGTACGTATGTTTGGGTTTCTGCTGGTGGTTCCACATTCTGCATGCTTTCCTAAAAGCGGAGCAATGTGCTTTCCCATAAATGATAAAGATTATGGGTTAGCCTCCTACAGGCTCTGTGTTCCTGAGAAATGGGCTCTTTCTGTTGGTGATAACTCATGTTTTGATGTCATTGTTCTGAATTGTTCTTCATGTTGTAAAATTGAGTTGAAATGTACTCCCATAAGAGTTAGCTTTTCATATTGGGCTGGAAACTCTTCATCTTTGTGTAGCAATTTGTTTTATTATAACCAATGGCTTTTAATTGTACCTCCCATAATGAAGAGCTGACTTAATACTCTGTGCTAATCTTGTTATTGACTTTAAAAAGGTAAGTAATTTCTCTAACCATTCCTAACAGTCATGGTAAAGTGTTAAAGGATTTTTCAATTTTCTTTTTTTCTTTATTTTTCACGTGAATTTTTCACTTGTAGCATGAACTTTTCTTTGTTTCTTTTTCTATTTTTCTTGTAAAAAACTTTTTGTGGACTGATTTTTATTTGCAGCAAAACATATCATGTAGATTTAAATAAATCCAATTTAGTACAGTCATTTATTTCATTTTTCAGACCAATCATGATTGATAGATAGAAATTGTCAGCAGGACTCTTTATTTTACCATTCCCTTAATTTATTTTTGAGTACTTTATTTCACATTCTATTTACTACTTCAGCCTATGGGAGAAAGCTTACTCTGCATTATAGCATGATGAAATTATATCTTAAAGAACCTATAATCCAGTTTGCTTAAAAACCAGAGTAATGTGAATTGAACGCTTTGGGTTTGGTTACATTCTGCCTGAACTACGCAGGGGAATGGTACTGGCTGGTAGCCCACTGTATCTTCTGCCAAGGTACATTGTGAGCCAAGAGGCTGTAAATGGACAAACAATAAATCTATACTTTCCCTGTGAAAAGAGAGACAGCCATAGGCTGTTATTTCTGTAACTACCTGTGAATGAGAAGAATTATAGTAAATAATACTACTAATCACTCGCCCCAGTCAGTTGTGGTACTATATGCAATGTAATATGGATTCTTTACTTAGCAGTAGCTGTGAAAAGAATACAGATATTTTCATAAATGTCACAAATAACAAAGTAGTAAAACATACAGATAATGAATATGATAAAAGGCACTTAAAGCACATGACCCCATTTATACAAAGCTCCATTGCTGCTAAAACTGTATGTGTTAGAAAACTGGTGGGTTTTATTCAAAATCATATTTTACTGCAGTTTTGTTTAAAAATAACGTTTAGGATATCAATGTGCAATTCATATTAAATAAACAGAAGTATTATGTAATAACTCATTTTGATGTCAGTTATGTTAAAACGTGGTTTGTATTCTGCAGCTGTGAGCATAGGTTGGGAAACGATCAAGTCTAGCTGATCAAGCCTTTTATTTTATTATCATGGATTCCTCTTCCACAGCTGCTTTTAAAATTTGTGGGAAGCAAATTATTTCTCATACTGCATATGTTGCCCATCAGGTGAGTGATAACATGGAAACTGTAGGCTGGGTGTAAGAAAGCAAAAAGTAAATTTAAAGTCCTCTGTGTGCACAGAATTAAAAAAATGACCTGTAAGAGGCTGCGTGTGAAGCCAGCTGTCTTTTGTTGCCATTGTCATTTGGACACTGTAAGAGCAAAACTTTGTCAGCACGTTTTTTATATTAGAAGATTTGATCTGCAAATCTCAGCTGCTCTGTTCATTATAAATCTCTTGTTTTTGTCCATACACTAGCTCCACTATAGGTTGGAAGGGCTTAAAGATGAACTGAGGAGGAATAGAGGCTACAACTCGAGAGTAACTATTACTGCTCAAAGGAGCTGTTTTCCATTCGCAAACATTGCTTTGCGCTATGGGTTTGGGCTCCTTCTGTTCCTCCACTTTGTTGAAGACTCTCTCTTGACTTCCATTTTACTTCTTTAGCACTGTCTTTGTCTGCTAACATTTTTCCTCCTTCTCTAGTAGCTTTTATCTGTGTCCTTTGGATCACATATTTTACTTAGTTTGTTTTAGTAGATTGTTTCAAATGTTTGTGTTTTGTATTTTTGGTTTTTTGCCTTTTTCTTTAGGACTATGTTATCTCACTGAGTTTCATTCCACAGTTTGCTGAATTGCTTGGTTATTTTGCAGCAGGCCCATTCCTCGTTTTCTCTTTTCATATGGTTTTCAGTGAGAAATAAGAGAGCCTCTTCCATTTTGAACAGTAGTCTTACACACATAGGCCCATGTCTCCTTTTGCATACACCATCTTCTGCCTTGCCACGTCCATCCTGCTTCTCTCTCTCTCTCAATCTGTGCCTCTCTCTCTTTTGTGCTTTCTTTCCTACCATTATACCATCTTTTTGGTCCAGAATTGTCCTTTGGTAAATTATAGGTAAATACTTACTTCTTCCAAAGAGAGTTCATGTCATGCCTTTGAAATCTGGTAAAACAAATCTGGGCCAAATTTGGGCATCATTAATATTTTGTTTGCAGTTTTCTTGTATAGTATTTTTGGTGGGAAGGAGGGAGGGGTTGGGTTTTTTTCTGTTTGTTTCTTTTAAACAACAGGTTTTTTCAGGGAAGGACACCATAACCCACTCTAAGTTGCAACATTACTTTCCATAAGTTATTCCATTACAATAAGTGGACTGTGTTGCACTGTAGAATCCAGTTTTTTTATGTGAATATACATTTGGGGCAAGCTGCTGTGGAACAGAAGAAAGAGGTTTAGAAGCTGGGGCACAGTTGGTTTCAGCCTTAAATGGTCGTTCCTTTCTGAAGACAGCTTTTTGGGGGTTGAGTGTGTACCGTTCTTCATCAATTGTTAGATCATACATGTTCACTTTCTGTAATTTTTCTGTAACTGCAAATTGAAACTGCAATTTTTCTGTAACTGCAAATTGAAACTGTAGTCTGAAAGATAATCTGGATTCACTCCTTTGCTTTTTCAGCAGAGACAAACGTTCTGCAGGGAAATTACACCCTCAGCGTCACCTGTGCTATTCCACTTCTTTGACCACGTGTACACGGTGTTACTTTATTAGCTCTCTCGCTGAAATTTAGCAATACATTTGTCAATAAAATAAAAAAGAGAAGGATTCCGTTCATAATCTCTCAGAGGTTTGTCTTCCTGTGAAGTTTACTTTAGCTGGGGTTTTGTCCACACAAAAAGCTTTTTAAAGTGTCACCAGTTCAGTCAGCTGACCTGCCAGAAGATAGACTGCTGTTCAAATTAGTTCATCTAAAAACTTGCAACTTTGGTGTTATTATACAATGTGCTATCTTTCCAAACTTGAGAAGAATTAACAAGAGCTGATGCTTCAGTATAGATAAAGTTTAAACTGTGTTGTGTTTGCAGGACTGATACTCTTCAAAAAACAATTCTTTTTTAAATCTGCATGGTAAACAGATGGAACTCTAAATATCCAGTGTTACTAGAATATTAGACCAATGTGAATCCTCCAGTTTCCCTGGAGTCAGACTAATGTATCTGGAATAGCACAGTGGCAGCTAAGCATCTAGGAAGAGGATTTGTTGAGAAACCAGTTGTCATTCTCACACAGTTACTTTTTAAAGTAGAATTGGACTGTAAAATTCATACTGAACATAGCATTTCTTTTAACCAAACAGAAACAACTGAGTAAATTCATCTGGCTCCAGCCGGGAGCTGTTTATACAATTCTGAGTTGCTTATACAATTGCGAAGAAGTTCATATTAAATATCTTCAGAATCAACATAATCTAAATTGAGTATTTTAAACTCTTTCTATAATACCTGAAAATATCAATAACAGAATTTTAAAACAGGTCATGATAATATAGTTATGTTAGTATTTTGTCTAATCATAAAACAGGACCTAGATTCAGAGTTACTGCAATTACAATTGTGTAAGAAAATGTGGATTTTCTGTTTAAAACTGGAGCTTAACACAAAATTTTAACCACTGTGTTCTTTGATTTTACTCTACTACTGTCCTTAGGCCATCTTGTTTCTTGGGAGGCAGGGGTGGAATCAAATTGCTTGTATCAGATTCTGACCATCAGCTACTACCCTTCTGCTTAAATATACTTATCTCATGTAGAGTATGTGAGAATGTTGCTGAAAATATGTATAGCCTCTGTCTTAGATCCCAGGAGCTTGCCCATTATATCTCTGTATTTTGCATTCTTGTTAACTTCTGTAGCTCATAGACTCTGTGCTCTCTCTGCAGGTCCAGTCTAGGTGCAGCAGCAAGGAGAACATCCTCAGAGCAAGTAAGTACTGAAACTTCATAAGTCTGTTGAGAAACTAAGACTGCTCAGAAGACAGCAAATGATAGTCAGATGAGAAGGATATGGTTGGGACATAAGTGAGTTTGCAGAAGAAATTTAATAACTTAAGACAATGAAATTCAGTCCAAAGGGAAATTAAAATTGTAAATAGCTTGTAGTGTTCATGTATTAATGGGTAGTTGCCTTTTTTTTCTTCCAAGTTGTTCTTCTAATGACATGGAGGTCTATGGTGTTTGTGGTGATGTATTGTTGTAAAAGACCGTGTGTGTGCAAGTTTTATGGGCAAAAAGAATCAGCACTCAAAGATAATGAAAATGGAAATTCTCAAGTTGAAGATATATAATTTTTATTTTCATACCTGAACATGAAATTGAATGTTGGGTTACATAAAACCAAACCAAAAAAATGCAAAGGCTAGGAATTCAGATTTGATCCAAATGACCCGTTCTTTAATTTGCACAATTCCTTTTCTTTGCTTTATGGGAATCTTTCCTAGTCTACAAACTTGATCCACCATATGTGTATATATGTAAAAACAGGAACGGGAGGTTGTTTCGGTGATAAGAGAGAAGGCTGTCAGGAATTTTCTACCTTATGCAACCAATTGACTTAGCCGCTTCAAAGCTAGAGGATTATTTTGTCATACAAAATGCTGCTTAATGTAAGTAGTTATTTTTAGAGCTATCTGACATTTGACATCAGTGAAAGGTAACTTGGGGACGTCTGAGTTGTTGTTTAATGTCATTTGCTTGTAATTAAAAAGTACCACTTAGTAATTTTAGAATTTAAAAAATCATTATTTGTTTGTCTCCAAATCTGTTTAAATGTATGATACCTCTAAAAGAAGAGTTGGGATTTGTTTGTAGGAAGAAATAGGGAGGGAGAAGGGTTAGTAGTTACACATGCATCTGTCTTCCTTTCTTCATTAAGGTTATTCGTGCCAGTGTTAAACCTGAAGGGGCTCTATTTTTGAGTATGTATTTTCTTGGCTTCTCTTGCAAAAATAATGGGTGTTACTTTTGGTGTTGGAACAAAGTTGTCGGACATTAGGGGATTATATCTATTTTCAAAAAAACTGTGTTGAAGAACTCATTTCTTAGTAGATTTTAGCAGAACCTTTGACTTAAGCAAATGACCTGTATTGGACACAGAGTTCTGAATCTGAAGTTAGTACTCTGGGCACCATTCAAAGCCTCTGAATTCATTCACGTTTTAAGGGTTGAAGAGGTGAAATGTTAGTTTGTGAAGTAGCTAACAGTGCGTTTTAGGTAGCAGTAAACATAAACAGTAAAGCATCTAATGGCTGTAGCATAAAGGTTGTTTGCTGCCACACAATTCCCCCAGTTTTCACTGCTGTGACATATATTTTCCTAGCATCTTCCTTCATTTTTTCCAACTTTTCCATTTAAGAAAATAGTTTCTTAATTTATGCAGTTAGAAAAAAGTTTTTTCATACATTGTGTGGAAACTGCTGGACCTGCAGGAATTATGGTCCTGCTAAGGAGGGCTTCTTTCTCTGTGCAGGGAAAGGTAGGGCAAGTTTGACTGTCTCTCACAAATGCTTTCCTTTCCTTTTCCTCATTTTTATGAGGTTGCTAATAAAATACAGGCATAATAATGGAGAATGTAAGCTTGCTAGGGACATCCCTGTTGTTAAATCCAGGAATGCAGTTCTTCCACTAGTTACACTTTTATCTCACAATAGTTCAATCTGAATCATTTCTCTCTAGTTTGCTTATGCGAAAGTCATGTTTAAGAGTGTGAAAAGTCTTAATACAGTGAAAATATATCTCATCAGCTGTTTCTTTCTTCCTCAGTATGCCAACTGCTATGTTAAGGAAAGGAATTAAGTCGGTTAGAAACTATTTGTGCTTGACAAATTCGCAGTGCCTGCTTTTATCATCATGTTATCTTCTAAATACATAGAAGCAGATTGCTCAGATAATTTATTCCAGAATCTTTCATGGGACTGGAATTAGTTGGGCAGTTTTTTTGTCTGTACTTCTTTCTCTTAAAGGTTGTTACTGTGTTAACAGCGAAAAATAAAATCATGAACAATCTCCCACATAGAGAGACAAGCATGTGTCAGTGCTGAAAGAAGTTTTGTATATACAGATTGATTAAGTGACCTTCTCTTCTGAAGGAAAAACTTAGATTGCATGATTGCTGTACTATTTTTGTAGTTATTTTTTATTAGAAGACTACACTTAAAGGAATGATCTATTTTTTTCCAGAATGTGAAGGCATGTGCAGCAGCAAATGGGATATTTAGGTAGCTACTGCAAAGCAAAATCATGTCATTGAAAATTAGTTTCTATTATTTGTTAATGCTATCTTACTATAATTTATGTTGCTTTAGGAATTTCATTGCTTATTACATATAGAACATCATTCACTTTGGCTCTCATAAATACTTTATTGTTCTAGGCAAATCCATTCAAGATGTTTCTACAAATGTCATTTTCTTAATCTTTTGGGTTATATCTGTTACTCTTGTTTATGTATTCCTGCAATAGTTCCCTCTCTTCAGTTGCTTATCTTCACTTCCAAAATCCTTCAAAGCTTGTTGTCCCCTTGTTTACTCTCCCAGTAAGTATCAAGAATCAAACATGCTACTGGCTTCATTTTCAAACAACTTTTGTCGTATTTTCTCCTAACCCGTCCCTCATACTTGGGAAAAGTAAGGTTCCATTAATCTATCCTACTGCTTTCACTCAAATTATACATTTAAATGTCACTTCGCTATGGTGAGTACAAAATCTTGACAATGGGTAGGCTGCCCACTAGCTGGAAACACTGTCTGCTGTCCTGACTGTCCAGTGATTCATTGTGCCTCCCTGTATCCTCCTTTCAAACCTTTTGACTCCTGTCTCACTCTTGGATTGCAAATTCACTGAGACAGTATCCATTTTTGTGTTTTATCTGTGCACTGCACATAGCATATTGAGATGTGTTTGTGGAGAAGAGAATGAGGAGTGAATCGTGCTGAGTTCAGAGTTCATAGAACTGAGTTAGCCTCAGATTATCATCCTCAGTGTAAAATACTGCATGATCCTGAAGGGTTTCTGTTTCTGATTAACTGATCCTTTTATGCTCATCAAGATTTCTGGTGTGTTTTTCATGACAAGTAAGGATATATACTTTTGTGAATTTTTTCAACTGTAAATTGCATTTTGTTTTATATCCCTCTTTTGATTCTAGTTGAATACAGTGCCTTGCCAGTGTCTGACATAAATGCTCAATAGTGATAACTAACTAATTTAATTTAGCTCAAAGTACCAGATTAATTTCAGCAAAGTAGTTTAAATGAACATCACTGTGTACCTCTACACATTGTAGCATACATAAACTTGGTGCTCTCTTGTTGCAGGTCACAGTGCTGTTGACATTACCAAGGTAGCAAGAAGACACCGCATGTCTCCATTCCCATTGACGTCTATGGACAAGGCCTTCATCACAGTTCTGGAGATGACCCCAGTGCTTGGAACAGAAATCATCAATTACAGAGGTATTAAGTTGGATTCTTTGTGAGGCTTAGGGTGGTTATTTCCTTATTTTACAACCTTCTTAAGCACTTGCTCTTTTATTAATGTTGTGATGTGTCTGAGACAGTACCTTCTCCAGGAGAAACTGCTTTAGGAAATGCCAATAATAGAAGCAGAAGTCTCCTTTCAAAGTCAGGAGAATGTTGATTGAGCTCAGTGCTGCTCCCTGAAGGAATCTGTAATGGAACTGTAATTCAATGTATAAATGAGTTTTCTTCTCGTCTGTGTTATATGCTACAAAGCTAAAACATAGAAACCACAATTTGCCTCAGTGGTTGATTTAACACTGGACTTTTGTAGATGCCAGGTAGCTCCAAGTTGTACTGTGATCGTTCACTCTGTTCTCTTACTGTGGGAGATTCTTACTAAACCCCCTTTCCAGTCTGAGATTAATGATCAAATCAAAGTGATTATTGATTCCAGGTCACCTTTTTCCATGTCTATATCTTTACCAGTTCATCTCAGTCTGTTTTTCCAGATCCTACTTGGCCTACTAGTCATTCCATAATTTGCCTCCTCTTCTCGTAAATGCAACATAATTCCCTTTGTATTCTACCACTACATTTGATCCTTTTCTGATACTTACTTGCATTTAATGTTTGATTTATTGAAACTTCATAATCAAGGGTAACTGTTATTGATCTATACAGTGAGGTTGTCTTAAAAGGCACCAAACAGCAGGCAAAATGTCAGACCTTGTGACTGTGTCTATACTCATAAATAAATGGGGACAGGTAGAAGCCGTTTTCTGGCCTTAAAAGGAATTACCAGGGCACCTCTCGTATTTATTCAGCTAAACTATCCTCCCTCCTGAAACAGTGAGTTCATAATGCCTATTAGGTGTCTCCTTTGCTTCTGCTATCCCTTGCACCAAGCCTGGGCATTATCTGAGCAAGTGTTCTTGGCACAGAACAAAACCATGACAGGAAGCATGCTGACAAGTAATCTTAAAGTAGGCTGGGAAGAGGAAACCTCCTCCAGGGATTCCTCCGGATTTTCCGAAGGTAAGGTGGTGAGCAAAGAGACAGTGGAACCATGAGCCTGAAGAGGCAAAATGTTCATGGCATTGGTGGATTCCAATAGCAGAGAGGTACAAATGGTTTCTGAATGGGATATTCTGTCTTCTGGCTTTAAAGTTCGAAGTTTTCATGCTCTTCACCAAATCTTTGTGCTGCTACAAACCTTTCGGGTGTCTTCATATTGACATACTGGTTTAGCAGCCTGTACGTAGAATCACACCTGTGGGTTTAGCCACTCGAGTGGAGATCAGCACTCCCCTCTGCCTTGGTAGCAGGAAGCAGATCTCTGAGAAGATGCTGCATATCCTGCATTCAGAACAGCACCAAGACTGGACCAGCAAGGAATATGCATATTACACCCTGCTCTTTCATAATGGTGTGCAGATTAGAAGGCGGCATTAAGGCATAAATGCCTGAGCATAGCTATTGGATCTTTTTGGATAGCTGTCAGTTAAATGTCTTTGCTAAGACAGCCCTTTGTGGACAATATGATAAGCCACAGTGTTAGGTACATTTAGTCCAATGTGTACAACACTTAAGTCCTGAAATAAAGGATAAAAGTCTGGCATGTACCTCCCTGAAGAATAAGCACAGCACGTGTTTATTTTGCAATATATAAGGCACTGTTAAGGTACTGTAGCATTATTATTCTTTTTTGCATAAAAATAGTTTTGATTATTTTAAACCTCTAGTGCAAAACTAAGTGAAGAAATAAGTTCTTGAATTTGGGTTATATTGATTATAGGGAAACACAAGTATTGATAAGCTGTTATTTTTCCTTGTTTTGGCCTTGATTCTATAAACATGTCTTATTCTCTTGTCCTTTTACCTTTATTTTCATTTTTCTCCATCTCTGTCTTTTATACTTCTGGATGAAAACTTACATACTGTTTCACAATATGTTTGTGTTCCTGCTGTTGTGTTTCTGGACAGAAGCTGTATTTTCCCTAGAGGTTAATAAAATGTGGCTAAAAATATTCTTCTAGGTAGACAGAGAATAAGCATAATCCTGATGTGCTACGTGTATGTTGATATGTATAACAATAACATCGCCATCTATTTATATGTATACAACAGTCTTTGTGCAAACATATTTATATCAACAGTAGGTAGCACACTTTTCATATATCTGATTTGTAAACTTCTTCATTAGAACTATGGTGAAATCAGACAAAATCACAGTATATATAATTTCCTGCTGCAACATGCTTTGGATAAGCTTTCACCATGTAATTTATTTTAATATTAAAAAACATTCAAAATATGGGCTAAGCAACAGTTTTGTGTTAATACTGATAATGTTACCATACCAATAACAGTGATTCTATTCAGAGTATACGCTCTTCAAAATGTCCTTACAGAGACAGAATAGAGGTAATTGGTCTTTAGCTATATGCTTATATTCTCTATGGAATTGTGCATACTCTTAATTTGTCAAAAAGGCAATTTGATTGTTTCTGTTTTTATTCCACTATACGGGAGTACGCCGTCAATGTAAGAGAAGGTTTTCTAGTATACTTTATAATATCTTAGTTGATATTTCATTTTGCTCTTCGTGTTACTTGATTACTGACATCAAATTCAGGCTGATTCTAAGTCTGGAACATATTGATTATTATTCCTGGCACTGTTATTCCTTAAAAAATAATGTTCTGAGTCTGCTGAGACACTTCAGTTATGACCTTCTTCCTTCCCACCCAAAAGAAAAAAGTTAAATACATGGTAAGCTCATCAGCTGTAGATATATATATTCTTGGTTTAATACTCGCATAATTGTACAAACAGCGAAAATATTAACAAAGACATATTCCTTCATATTTTTGCACTGTAGTGCAAAATTGTATCTCACAATTTATTTTTCAACAAGTATGCACTTATTTTTGCACTGTAAGATTTCCTAATACATAGTATGAAATTTCAGGATTGAGCCTTTAGGAGACATCCTAAAAGACACATCTGTGTCTGTAATACTGGAAATTCAATGCTCTTAATATACAGATACAAATCTTAAGATGGAATCTCATTTTCAGAAGTTCTCAAGTGATCACCGTAGTGTTATATAGACAAATATATAGGATTTTTTTGTATAGGCCTGTATATGTATATGTACGTGTGTGTGCGCACGCATATATGTTAGTTGGCTAAAAAATATTGATTTTGAAGAATACAATGAATTAAGAACAAGTATTTAATTTAGTTATGTATTCATTTATTTTTCAGTTAATATGCCTGTAATTTCAGGAGATAATAAAAATGTAGTCCTGGAGGTCTGAATCCTAACTAACTGTACTCAGAGAAGCGCGATTGTGCTGTGTTTGTTTTCTTTGTGGTTTTGTGTCTTGAATTAACACTGAGCTCCTGAAAATTATCTTTCAGGAGCACAATTCCTCTGCAAGGAAAGTCAAATGTTTAAAGTTCTAAGATTGCAATTTATTTCATTAACAAATTACCTCATTAATTTTAACCTGATTTATTTACATTACTAAACATAATACATAGTATTCATCCTCAACTAAAGCTGCTGAATGTTACTCTGTACAAGTAGCCAGTGCAGTCCTGACTTTATTCTTGATTAAGTCAAGGCATGCTGTAGTCTCTCAAATCTATTCTCTCCTAACATAAGGGGGAGGATGAGTAAAGTTATCTTTTGAAACATGACTTTCACATTGGTAAGTGTATTGCTCAGTGCTTGTGTAGATCATTTAGCCTCTTCCATATTAAAGAAAAAAAGAAATGGACATTTTACAGAAGTGCCATGAATCAAAGGCATCTGAAGCATGTTTCCCACCTGCCATCATCAATATCTGGTGTGAAGCCCGCAATTAGCCTTTTATTCCAGCTAAATGCAGTTACCTGAATACATGGGTATATAAGGTTAAGTTTTTAGACAGCATGATAATGATTATTCTTCTGAAACTAAGAAGAGGCAGAAGTTTAATTCATACTAAAAGTACAAAGCAGAGGCATTCCACACTTTAGGGGCTTAAGCCTCAGAACGGAACAGTTTTTCTGATCCAGGTCCAACAGCCCTGTAACTTCTGTAGAGTCTGGACATTTTTTTCCATTGCTTATTCATTTTGAACTAGCTGATTATTTTGATAGCACTGCCTTTTCACATCACACTGAAGTGCTACCAGGGCAATATTTACAAAATGGGAGCAAATCCATCACCTCTAGTACAATGCCTGTCTCACTGCTTTATCCCAGTACCAATGCGAAATCAAAATTCTTCACAGAACCGTACCAGTTTCACCAGCTAAGCTTTAGAAAATATACAAATTTGAGAAGTGAGTTTAATGTAATTCTCCATTTTGTGTTAGAATCAGAAAGCTATGGGCATCACAAGGGGCAGTTTGATGACATTAAAATATTTCAGAACATCTTTTTTGAATTACAATTAATGAAAATAAGGTCAAACAGTGTATTTCTAAAATAATTGCTCAAATAAAGGAGAGTACAGAGGTACTTCACATTGTCCTTTAGTTGCTGACTTGCTTCATTTTAAATGCCTAAGGGTTCAGCAAATAATTCTTACATTTTTCTCCCCTTAATGAAATTCATTCCCGCTACTGGCTGGCCATTTATTCCCTTCAAATATTGCATGGCAGAATGCCAGGAACATACTGTTCAACTTTGCTCTCATTGGTGTGATTTTGCATGCAGACAAGAAGTAAAATGAAGACACAACATGCCTGCTAAAATTAGAAGCATCACTTCTGTATGAGATTTTGTGCATCTGTGAACAGAAGGTGTTTCTACTAGGCCTTTGATAGCTGCCTTTTCTATGCTATAATTTAAATGTCTGTGCCTGCATTCTTTTTTTCAGCACAAATGTACAAGCTTTCATGAGCTTTCTAATAACTTCTATAATGTGTATCACAGACAGTGATATGCAGTCATGCACAGACATATTAACGGCCATCACAAAGGTGCTTTTCTAGTTGCTTTAACAAGTTTTATCAGCATTTTCATGGCAATACCTATTTCAAAAATGCAACATGAATATTCACCTCAGGCTGAAAGTTGATACGTATGGATGTGAGCACAATGATGTTATAGTCATTATAATTAATTACTAACTAAATCACTTTGTGTTAATAAGTAAAATGTAATCTCCATTATAATACCACTTCACTGGAGCCGAACATTTTCAAATCAAGTAGGTGAACTTTTTAACAAAACTAATCCATTTAGTGTGCAATGTTAGGTCTTCTGCCTTCCCAGCAAATCCAGAACCACATTGATTTCCTTATCTGTAAAACAAGAAACACACTTTATGTATGTCTCTCTTTTTCGGCACGTCTGAACGATCATGATCTATAAAGTACATATCCATGCAAATTCTCCTGGCAGAAGTATTCATGCGTCCTGTCATTCCTTCGTACTTTCAGCTGGATATTGCCTTCCTGTGCCACAATGCACTCCTAAGAGTGGTGACCTCCATTATGAGATGAGTTTCCCTTCTTCTACTTAGACATAGTGGAATCAAGCCGATCTCAGTAGTTCTGACCGGTGTGCCCCTTCCCAGTCCATCTAATCACACATGTAATAAATCATCTTTCTCACTCTCCCATTGTATGAAGGAATAAGATACATATTTTCCACTCTGTTCCACATCATACTAAAGAAAAGCTCTTGCTGGCACCATAAAAGCAAACAAGTAGTGCACACTTGACTGAGGGTGAAGTAATTCATATTGGTCTCTGCAGGGAGGCAGAGCCAAATTACAACTGATCAGTCATAGTTGCTAAGTGAAGGGAAAATATAGCAGCGTAAATTTACATAAATAATCCTGACACTTATGTGCTCTCACCCTCCATTAAACAGAAATGCTCTCAGCAATTAGGCAAAGCTAATCTATTGCAAAACTTCTTTGTCAATTTATGGAAACTTGTCCATCATTACTGTTCATGTTGAGTCCTCTGGGCTCAATCCGTCATCTCTCACCTTTTGCACACAGGATTCACTTTTGAAATGTTATTTTAAAAGCCTTAAAAAAAGAACAACTTTTTTAAAAAAACTGGAATACAGGAAAGTATGTATTTCTAAGAGGTTTCAGGAAAAAAACTTGTCCTGAAGAAACAAATACTTATTTTTTTCTGTCTGATCCTGTATCAGGGCTATTACCTCTGGGTTTGGATACTTGGCATTCAGATCTACTGTCAATAATTTCACCATAACCAGGAACACAGACAAACTGAACAAATCTTTCATCAGTACTTTCAGACTCCTTTTTCTTTTTCATTTATGTAGAGGCAGAAATCAAAAACCTGTGAGACCTATTCATGTCACACACACATGCATTTCATCCATCAGAGCATACTACTGTTCACTGTTTTTCTCCCTTTCACTAGCTGTAATGACATGGAGCATGGTCTTTTCTCTTTTCTCTTTTCTCTTTTCTAGATGCCTCCAGCCGAGTCCTTGCTCAAGATGTATATGCAAAAGATAATCTACCACCATTTCCAGCATCAGTAAAAGACGGCTACGCTGTCAGAGGTAAACGGTCACTTTGTAGACATGCAGTAGTGTCTGTAAAACCACTTTATAACATGTTAGTTCACCTATTTTGGATCCAGCAATGGTTATTTTGGTTGAGATTTGATTCAGATCATTGCTGAAGTCACAGTTACGTAGAATGCAGCTGTCTTGAAGGAAGACCATAAAGTTGAATTCAGATCTTTTAAGTGGATACACGAGCAAATGTACATCCATGTGTGCTCATAGACGTGCACCTGTGTTGCTAGTGAGTTTCTTGGAAACATAAAGAATTCAGGAGAGTAATAGAACGCTTGTTTCTGAATGACAGATTCTTCTTCTGTTCCTCTGTTGTTGATTTAATCAGGAATTTCTTGCATATCTTACTTTGTTGAACTGTCACAGATCCAGCTTCCTATTTGTGAATTACTTTATGATTGCATTAGAGAATTTTCAAAAATACATATCAGAATGTACTCTTACGGAGGCATGTCAAAAGAAAAACTCAATTTTACTTTGAAAATATTGCGGTTGCTGTATATAAATAAAATGAGTAGTGTGAGTTTAAGGAGCAAGCTGTGAGTGGTTTCCCAGGAGACCTGAAACCATCCTCTGCTTTGCCACTACGTGCTGCATGATTTTGAGCAAGTTGCTTCTCTGTGCATCAGTTTTTCCCTTTGTAAAGTAAGGCTAACAGTATTCACCTCAGATTACTATGGAGGAAAATTAAAATATGTATGATGGAACATTTTACTAGTAGTGATTTCATGGCGGTAGGGGTTGAATCATCGTAACACCATGTTGAAATTTGGACACAATAGCCAACTTTCTTCTAGGGACATTAAAATATCTTTTTTGTTGCTGGCAGCTGAAACAATGGAAAGCAACTGTCCATGAAATAGACTGTCTGCAAACCCAGGCAATGGATGTAGTCCAATAGCTTCCCTATGGATTTGATATAAAAATAAAATTCCAGGTCTACAAGATGAGTTTGACTGCAGCTGTCTGTCATCTACGTGTGTGGGAGACAGGCAGACCAAAATGACCAGTAATAGTGGCAAGGGAGTGCAGATGTAGCCAGAGAAATACAGGTAATATAACACAGAAAAGCTAAGAGGGGCAGCTCTGAGTAGAATGCTGACTGACAAGGGCCTTGGGATCAAGCAAATGCTGTCTTGCAACCTGATTGCTACAAGGTAAGGAAAAGCACAAGTACAATCTCAGTAAACATGCAGAATGAGCAGAATCATCATGGACACCGTCTTCAACAACTTCTGTCAGAACTGACACACAAGACCCTAATTTCGGTGGTGGATTCAAATAGAGTAACAGTAAGGTACTTGAATGAGTCCAGAGGAGGGCAACAAGCTGGTGAAAGGGCTGGAGGGAATGTCCTGTAAGGAGTAGTTAAGGACTTTGGGTTTGTCTAGCTTGGAGAAAAGGAGGCTGAGGGGCGACTTCATTGCTCCCTTCCTGAGGAGGGGAAGTGGAGAGGGAGGTGCTGATCTCTTCTCCCTGGTACCCAGTGACAGGATGCGTGGGAATGGCTCAAAGCTGCGCCACGGGAGGTTTAGACTGGACATTAGGAAGCATTTCTTTACCAAGAGGGTGGTCAAACACTGGAACAGGCTTCCTAGAGAGGTGGTCGATGCCCTAAGCCTGTCAGTGTTTAAGACGCATTTGGACAATGCCCTTAATAATTTGCTTTAACTTTTGGTCAGCCCTGGAGTGGTCAGGCAGTTGGACTAGATGATCGTTGTAGGTCCCTTCCAACTGAACTATTCTATTCTGTTCTATTCTGTTCTTACTGTTCTTGTAGACCTGTTTTCTCAGGATACGAGAAACAGCTTGTAGGCAGAAATAATATTAACTACATTAACATATATTTTTTACAAAAAAAAAAGGATTACCTTTCAGTCACATAAACCTGTCTGCCCAAAACCTTGTCCACTTTTTTCAAGCTATGTCAGTTGTATATCACCTATAAATTTTGTCTCCATATCATTATTAATGGGGGAATAAAATCTAGTTCAGTAGCATTTTATCAGCTTTAAAATAATTTAGCTATTAGGGAATTTTTTCCTCTTCTTTTGCTGGATCATCTCAGTGAAGGGCTGACAACTGTATTCAGTAGTATTATATGCATCATTCAAAGACAAGTAGTTGAAGAGTCCTTTTCCACTTTCTTATTTTAGAGTTTGTTCTAAAGCTCACGGATTAGGCTGTTGATAGGCTTTTAAAGTTAAGTTAATCATTAGTCTTCAAACATGACTAAGTACCATAGATCATCATCTGCAGAGTTGCAGCTGATGTATGAGTACAAATGGGATAAATCATTATATAGACTGAATGGGCATCCTTCCTGAAAGCAATTCTTCTCAATACGATAAGGTTATCTAGCTGTATATTCAGGGCTTTTGAAATAAAACAGAAGGTATTAAGATAAAGGTTGTCGCTGATTAGACTTCATTTCTGGGAAATCAACTTTTGACAGTGACAGATTTAAAATTAATAAAAAGACATATTTAAATGTGACCGTATGAACCCAGTTTGTCAGAACACTCTTGACAGCATCACTGCTGTGCTTGGACAGGCAGAGTTGCTTGTGCTCCATACACGCTTTACACCATGGTAGAGCCCATAATACCGCTAGTGCAACCTGAGGTGAGGCAGGCAGAAGCTTAAACTTTGCTAGTAAAGGCGCCTTTGTTGTCCCTGTAAAAATACAGATTTGGCTAAATTAGAAGTCTTGGAGACTTTGTTTGTTAAATCAATGATCTCTGACTTTTAATTTTCAGAATGGCTTCAGTGAAAAGTATAAGGTAACTAGTTCAGTGCTACCTTCTGAAATTACAAAAAGGAACAGAACCCAGCCTTCTAATGTGGCAGTCTAGTGTGGCATTATCTAGTGCTCTTCAGAAAATGCCAAACCTGTGTGGTCATCTACACAGTCTGTAACCACTGCACTTGTCCGCGTTTTCCTCCAAAGGCAGAGACAGAATCTAGAAATGTCAGTAGTCCGTTGTTGTCTAGAAAAAAGATACATAATACACGTACAAAATATGTGATTCCCCCGTGTTAGTTTCACATGGAAGAAGATTTGCTTATGGTGGACGTTTTTATAAAAATAATCTCACGAACACTCTTAAATCTTTGTTATTAATGTCATTCCTCCTAATCTCCTTTTACTTGATCCCATATTGCCCAGAAATTTTCAGTTAAAAGTACTATAGAACCCATAACTTTCCAAATAATTAACACAATCTAAAAGGACCTAAAATGTAAAATGTTTGCAAAAGTTCTATAACCTTTGTCATGCTGACACTGAAGGACTGAATCTTAGATCATTCTTTGGTTCTCCTGTTCGTCATTTCTAATGCCGTCGTTTGTTTTGGTTCAGCCTTTACCATTTGTATTGTCCATCTTAACAGCTGCTGATGGCCCAGGAGATCGATTCATCATAGGGGAATCCCAGGCTGGTGAGCAGGTGAGCACAATTTCTTTTCTCTTTTTTTTAATGTATTTTTCTTTTGTAAGGTATTGCTTTGTATTATTACAAGCCTTGCTAGTGCTCCAAAACTCAGTAGTATTGGAGGTGGCATGAAGTAGGACACAGCTGTACCTAGCCTCCTGCTATGTGCCTTGGGACATGATTTCAGAAAGTGAGGTCGTACGGTTATGTAAGGAACTAACAAGGATATCCCAAAATACTTCAGAGCGTTGTGCTGACATGTCCGATAGGAGTGCGTACTGTAATGTTCTGCCCTAGTACAATGATAGAGGACGTAAGGTTTCTAGTGGCATTACAATTCATAAACAGAGAAACGCAAGATTTAACTGCTTCCTAAAGGGATGTCAGCCCAATAACTGTTTCCATGAGCTGCTTGCATATTTCATACTGATACCTGCAAAACAAAGTGTAAGAATTTGGTATGAAGCCTTTAAAGGTAGGTAATGATCAGAACAATCTCGAGGAAGCCTGGCAGCAGCCTAGTTTGCAGTATTGCTCCTTTTCTGTTTGTTAAATAAAAAGAGTGTTTGCGCACCTTAGCGGCTACATGGATTGAGTTTAAGAGCAAGTTGGGGCAGCACCCATTCATGACCTGCTGTGCTGTATAAATATTCATGAACGGACACTATTTGGGATTTGCTCTCAAACTCAAGAGTACATTTGGTAAAATTCTTGTACTAATACTTGGGTGATAGGAAAAAGAATCAGTTGCGTTCAACCACTTTTTTTATTCTGTCAATTTAATTATACATGCTGCCTTCTTTTCAGGAGTGCATGGGTTAATCCAAAATGTTTCTCCAGCTATTTCAAGTCCCAGTTTCTAATTCTGTGTGTTGTATGTGAAATGATGCAGAAATGGAATAAGTAACAGGCAAAACAAAGGATTGATCAGTTTTACTGAGGATTTTACAGTGTGGCCATTTTGACTGCTAAACAAAAAAGTCTGGAATAAAATAGATTTCAAAAGTTGTTTCAGGTTTTAGAAGTACTACCAGTTGCAGGATTGTTCCATTTTTTTAAAAATGGAGTTGAACTACCTCTAAATGTATAATCGACATTTAATTTGGCTAATCATGATAGATACAGAGAACTATGAAAATAATTTTTGCTGTAGATCCCATCCATCATCATGAATTATACTTTGGTATAATAGGCATCTTCTCAATACTGATATCCACGTGGTCTTAGATTAATGAATCTGTTATACAAACTACATAAAATTACTTTAAATACTAAAAAAAAGTAAACTAATGAATTTCACCTGCCTTGGATTTTTAGCCCTTCTGTCTGCGTTTTCAAGCATTAGTCCAGAATCCCAAAGACTGACAACTATTTCTGCAACGCTTTTTGTGGTCACTATAAAATAGCAAGAACCAGAGCAACCTGCTGAATTATTACTCCTGTCATTACTCACCTGTCATCAATATTATCATTTTGCTAGTTAAAAGATATCACAGTACATTGGTACTTAAAAACACTGCTGTTGAAGCTGTGTCTAATGGGGAGGGCTGCCCACAGGTCTAAAGGGTTTCAGTGTCCTAATCAGTCCAGCAGGTTT